TCAGCGACACGAGTTTTTCCGGATTGAGGCGAGCGCTTTTCAAAAAGGACGGTGGGGTTTGACAAATTTTGATTAGTTTGTTATATTTACTGTGCTGAGGTTTATAACTCCTTGAACAAACGTTTTTGTACCCTTCATACAGTCTAATGACGGCTTCAAAGGATGTCCGCGTAGTTTGTCGCAGAAATGTCAGCTTCTCAGCTGAGGCGATGGGTTGTGAGCTTTGCTGTCAATGGACTCTCTGCTCCTGTGATTCCAGCCAGCCATCTGGTTATTATGAAGCACTGCTTAATAGCCCTTTGGATGGTGATTGGTATTTTGTCCATGTTGTAGATCCAAAAGTAAGTACCAAATAGGCCTAGAGCTAGTGAGACGGAACTCCGACCGCCTTACAGCTGAGATATCTGCACAAACCAGCCTCAATCTACAGGAGTCCCGTAGCCATAAAAAGATCCCTCAATTTAGCAGTAAGGGAAGTAACGAATTCATCACTGTCACGGACTCTCCTCCTTAACATGCCTTTGGAACAGATCCCCTCAGTGATGAGTGCGAATCTCACGCCTGATAAGCGCCGAAAGAAAGGTCTGAAGAAATGCAGGCAGGCCAGTTTAGTTAAAAACGGAACATTAAGTAACGATCATAAGTCTGGCAGAGTAAGGACTACTCAGCCTTATGAGAAGCAGAATCATGAGCTGAACATTGCCCCTCCTACTCAGGAGAAAAAGTTCCGAAAAGAGCAGATCTTGCTCCCACCACCTGTAACTCAGAGCGGAAGCCACCTGCATTTCACTGCCAGCCTCTTTCGATCATCAAGAGAACTCCCGCAGCTGACACCTCAGGTCTTCCGAGTCACTAGCAAAAGACTCATCAGAAACCTGAGTCTGTATTCACAGGTTGGAATAAGCTCCAAAAGACAGACCGTAACCTCAATTTTAGATCACTCATGCTCTTCAACTTTCAGGAAAGTGGCTCCTCCCTATTGACTGATCGTGAAGAACATGACCTTGACCGGTGGAAGAGTGTTTGCAAACTCCTAGGAACCTCTCCCTGCAGTCCATCCCTTCGACGCCCAGCGCGTAGTAAGTTCTCCCCCAAAGGCTCTCCTAGACCTTTAAGGGTATCCCTTGATAGTACACGTCGGTCCGAACACATCCTTCTGAGAGGTCATCAGTCGGTGAAACGTACACTGTCTGACGTCAGGATTAGGCCTGATAGACCCTGGTCAGTGCGAGAACTTCTTCGCAACAGCAAGAAGATTCACTCTCAAGAGTTATGCTGCTCGGTAAATATACACGGGATTTCCGAGTGTTCGGGTACCGATACTGCCGAACTTATCCACGACGTAAATCAGTGGGAATATATTGCCAGCAAACTGAAAATCGATGTGAGGGCCGAAAGAATTAATCGTCTTCCAAGGCCGGCTCACCTCTCAACCATACGTACTCCCAGGCTGCTTCAAGTAGCCCTCGACTCTCTGGACATTGTTAGAACTACCTTGAAATCCTGGTATAATGTATCTAATACATTCCCTAGAGAAATAAAGATAAGCAAGTGCAGACCCACGGAACAAAGGCAGACTGAGAGGCGGTTCAAGCGCCTACCGTTGGTCAACGCACACCTAACGGTAGAACGGCTGGACGATAAGCAAGAGTATTTATCGGCCTTGTCTTAGATAGAAGAACCCGGCACCAGTCCTCAGTCAGAGATCAGTGGATACAGTAGCCCTTGGTTCCACCGCCCTATCAAAAAACTTGTCAAAGCCGGCCATTAAAAGGCTAGCAACTCACGCTTAACTCAGCCGGTCGCTGGGATCTCCGGCCCTCAGACTCTTATTCGCTGTACCTTCAGCAATGTACGAGGCCTACGCTCCAGGGTAACTGAGTTATGGTTACTAGTGGATGAGGAAAGTCCTAGCATAATGGCTTTCTGTGAAACATGGCTATCAGAAAACATAAGAGGCAAGGAAGGTCGTTTAGGGCAGCTCAGCCTAATCAGAAAGGATAGACCGGAGGGTCCAGGAGGTGGCGTTGCTCTTTACACCTTCCTCTCCTTAAAAGTCCATGAGATTCAATCTCATAGAAGTGGCATTAGAGGTGTCCTCTGGTGTAGCATTAGGTGCTGTGGAGGTCCGTGTTTAGTCGGAGTTTTATGCCGCCCTCCTGCAGCTGATGCCACGCTAAATAAAATGTTATTGCAGCCCATTAGAGGAGCCCTGGAACTGAACTTCCTACAGATCCTCATTGTGGGAGACTTTAACTTTCCTCAACTCTTTACCACAGAAAGTCCATCTACTGCTCTAAAAGACTTTCGGGAATTGTTACTGGAAAACCCCTTGACAGAACATGTTTCCCAATGTACTCGCTGGGGGCCTGACCGTGAGGCATCCCGACTGGACTATATTTTCACGAATCAGTTCATTGGGGTAAGCAGCTTGAATGTTTTCAGCCCTCTTGGCCTAAGTGGCCTTGCAGTTATCTTCTTCAATATTTATGTATCTAAGCCACCCGTTCCCGATCGGCCTCTAGTTAGGCATTACAAGAGAACTGATTTCCAGAAGGTTTGGCAAGATCTAGAAGGTTCCGCTTGTTTAAATTGCGATGACCTACTGGATCTTGATGCTAGATGGGGTCTGTTGAAGAATACAATCCTACAGACGATAGAAGACAACACTCCTCTGATCCCCAGAGGAAGTAACAAGTTCTACTTCTGCTGGCTTAAGTCTAGCACGCGCAAGCTAATACGGCGTAAAAGGTCTTCTTGGAATCTATGAAGGTGCACTAATAGCCCTTTTGACTGGCTAAATTATAAAGACATCCGTAACAAATGTTCAGTAAGGATCAGAAATGACGGAATAAACCACCAGACACAACTTTTTTGAACCCTGGAGGGGAATCGTGGAGTACTGTACTCGTTGATGAAACAGAAGAGTAACAGTTTGCTAAGTTTACAGGACCCCATTAGTTTGGAAATTCTCTATTCTAACTCTGAAGTTGCGAACCTACCAGCTCGTGAGTCCAAAACAGCTGTCATTTAGGAAACAAAACCCTGCCTCGGTCGGACACCCGTATCACAGAGGGACTAAATCATATAGAGTTCAGACCCTCCGTAATTATGGAAATATTAAAGAAACTGAACCCGAATAAGTCTCCAGGAATTGATGGTATTCACCCAAGAGCACTCAAGGAGTGTGCTGAAGTTCCGTGTGCCTTACAAGCAAACCTCTTCAAATGCTTGGTTCTGGAAGGCAGGTTACCCTCTGATTGGAAACGGGTGGCTGTCGTCCCAATTTACAAAGGTGGAAACAAACTACTGGCCTCCAACTACAGACCAATCTCCCTGATCCTTTCAGTTGCGAAGGTCATGGAGAGAGTCATAAATGACTCACTACGCGATCGCTTACTTCAGAAATCAATCCTAAACGACTGTCAGCATGGCTTTCTATCAGGAAGGCCATGTGACACCAACTTGTTGATAGCTTGGAATAGCTGGACACTCTGTCGAGAAGAAAAAGCCTATACACATTGGTTTACTTGACTTTTTAGGGCCCTTGACAGGGTAAATCATGATATCCTTTGTAAGAAACTCCAGCTCATGGGTGTACGCGGAAAATTAATAATCTGGCTTAGAGATTATCTGTACCCAGGGTGCAGTCACTTGGAGTCCGCTCCTCTCTATCTGATTGGTTCGCGATGCTGAGTGGTGTGCCTCAAGGTTCCATACAGGGCCCACTACTGTTCCTTGCTTTTATCAGTGACCTACCGGGGTCCTTAATTCACATTCACTATCATACGCCGATGATCTGAAGATCTGGAGGGAAAAACAGGAACCAACGGGTATTTCGATCTTCCAGGGGACCTTACGAAGATCCTTAATTGGACTACAGAAAACCTGCTTCTTCTCAACTCGAAGAAGTGTCGAATTATGATAGTTGACAAACATAAAGGCAGTCCCAGTCCTTACTTTCTGGGTGAAATAAGTATCTGCCACTCTAACATGGGACAAGATCTGGGAGTTACACCAAACGATACACTAGGAGCCTCTATTCACTGTCGCCTTGCAGCCAATAGGGCTTATGGAATTCTGGGATTTCTCTCGCGAACCTTGAGGTTTCTAACTCCTTCTCTTTTCACCACAGTGTATGCCCTGTACATTCGTCTTCATTTACAAAAAATTCACTTGTAATGTCCCCATACCTGAAAAAAGACATTGCCATCCTAGAATGGGTACAGAGAAGAGCTGCAAAGAAAGTGATTGGGTTACGGCACAAACCGTACCCAGACCGCCTAGATGCTCTTCAGCTGCACCCAGTACAACACCGGAGGATCAGAAGGGATATGATCATGATCCACCACATTGCCCATAATCCCCTCCATCCCAACAGATCCCTTCTAAGCTTTAGTCGGAAACGCAACTTGAGGGGTCACCCATTAAGAATAGAGCACTCGAGAGCACGTACAAAGATCCGTGCTAACTCATTTGAGGTTAGAGTCTGTAAACTGCCGAATACCCTTCCTTGAGCAGTTGTTACAGCCCCATTCCCTGGTACCTTTAAAAGGGGGCTAGACGCACATCTCGAGTCCTGCGGTACCCATGGGCTATACTCGAGAAGCTTTCCCCAGATCAGATGCAGTAATACTAACTTGAGACCAGATTAATTAATTAATCGCATCTCTATCCTTCCAGGTTTTTCAGAACCGGGAAGATAATTGTGACCATTCCAAACTCAGAAGGTATTCCAATAAGACAGACGTGGAGCCCAAGGAACCGCAGTTCGCTAATTCTACAACACGAAGTTTGAAGTTTGAACGACTAGTATTATCTGCACCTTCCGTCAACGCTTTCAAGGAGAAACTAGATCTTCACAGAAACATCCTCCGCAAGGATGAACACAGGTGAGATGCCCTTCCATGCTTATTGCCGAAAGTGAAACTAATTGGCTTGCTCTAGCTGGTAGAAAGGCATTGGATAGTGAACGTTCAAGCGTAAGCGCTGCAGTCACAGTTTGCGTTGCATTTTGGTGGTTGGTTATAAATTCGTGGTGTCGTCGATCTTGTGTCTAACCGGTTAAGCTAGATAAGCTACTGAATGAAAATAGTTTTAGATACCCGAGTGAGTTTCTTTTGACGCATAAATAGTGGCTACTAAGGGTCCCCTGATTGTAGTAGACATCGTCTAGGAAATTTAATTTGATTGTAGTTTCCGAAAGGTACGCATCAAGACTTGAGGAAGGAATGAGTGTCTCAGCGTTTTATTTCTCTTAGTTTCATACTCAAAGTTATACTAACTCAGGTTTACGCATTTTGCTTTTGTTAGGGTTTCATAGTTAAAAGTCAAACATGGTAACAAAACGTATGGCGAAAAACACATGAGCTGCCAATAAAACCAACAACTGCTATCAATAGTGGAGGTTTACCAAGATGAAACTACACTTTTGTGGAGCTTAGTGCGTTTTGATAAGAAGTCTTGTAATATAAAATATTTGCAAACTGAGGTGTTATCAGAAACACCATAGAAACAAGAACAGATAGTAGATCACCTAAGAAGTGGACAGTGTGGAAAAAGAAATGGTAATTTCACAACTTGAGTATTAAGGCCATGAAAAGGAAAGGGGTTGGACAATCTCCCGCAAACAATTTCGGTTTCTCCATATCGATGGCAAGAGCTTTGGGGATGCCGGAGGATACGGAGACTCCTTTTCACATTATAAGTCGCTCTAAATGAGGAGGTTCTTAATTTAAGTTGGCCCGTGTTCAATGGTAGCATTTCTTATAACTCACATGAGCAATCGAAATGACGTAGGATCCTCGGAAAGCATTCGAAACCGTAGACTCCTGTGATGTTTTGCATTGCTTTCCCATCTTCGAAATACGAACGATAATTAGCTACCCTGGATGCACACATATGCGTGTATGCAACTAGGTACATTTAATTCCATCATACGTAAAACACCTATATTTGTATGCTGCATACATAGTGTGGTATCGAATGCACAGTAACTTAGTGAAAGAATGCTATTTTAGTTGCATAAACCGCACTCATAGAGCGTGGAAGATGGGATTCAGAAAACATTGCTTCCTTATTCTTTTTACTACTATAAAGTGGCACTAATTACTGTTTTCACCCGTAAAATAGTTCATTGTTTATTGATTATGTGCACAGTTATTTGATATATTATTCATTGTCTACATTCGATTGTTCTCGTGATTCTGTAATATTCTGCCAGGTAGTTGTTACTCTTCTGGACACAAATAAAACCCCCTTGAAACCTGGAATCAATCGAATGCGAACAAACGTGAAGTAAAATAGGTGGAATTAGGTCGTTATTGAAATATTTCATCGCGAAAGTTCTCCATGTTTTGGCATATTACTTATGAGTTGGCATAAGCAGCAATGTAGTATGAAAATATGGGCCAGTGGTGAAATGTTTTGATGACTTCAGGGATCAGTTGTCATTTTCTACCATCCCACACTAAGGTCACCCTACAATTGCACATTTCGGCATAGGTGTGCCAGTTGATTATAATGTAATGAATGCAGAAGATTAATTTGGGATACGTGTGACCAAGTCCAGTCACGGCTTTGTACTTAGGCTAAGACAGAGTAGATTAAAACAGTTTAACCCGATGTATCTAAGCAATGGATATCCAGTACCTACAGCAGGCTTAATGTCTATGTGGGGATGGTTTTTTCTACCCACCAGTTTTGCTGAGAATGTAAGCTGAACGTAGTAGTTTTGCTCTATTTTTTCTATTGTATTCTTTACCTTGGGTCTGTGGAGTTGTATAAGCCTTGTAATGTGACTGGGCCTTCCCAAATTGTGGATTAGATTCGGGGCGAAATAAAGACACGAGAAGCTAAACGTGAAGCAAACTCAAGAAACATGGGGCAAGATGAAAAAAATGCTGCAAAACCCTTCATTTCGCCCCATGTGTTTACTACGATTTTTCTCCATGCCTATTTATGCTCCTCCAAAATGTTAACTACGTTACAAGACGCTAAGACTTTCCCTTTCATAGTAGTATCCTGGGCGCATCATGATTTGTCTGCAAACCTCACTCTTTCCTATCTTTTGGGATAATGCATACAATTGCAGAGTACAACTTTGTCTAACAAATAGAAATCACTTCGAAAAAACGCCGGAAAACTTCTCTCTCGGGGTGGTCAAACCAAGACGTGGCCCCAGTCCCTGGAGTCTGACTATTGGTCTGAGGCAAGGTAATCCGGTGCGCTTGTGTGCCAGATTCTACTTGTCTATCTGTATGTCATAAATGATTTCAACGGAGAATAGTAACAACACAGTGTCCTCTTACCAGGTTTTATGTTATTGAGTATTCTCAACACCATTTCCCTATCCACTATAATAGATGGCATTCGGTAGACAGTAGCCTTAATAATACTTAGCATCTGAGAACTAACGTCAGCCGAAAAGGTCTCGCTAGAGCAATTCGATAGCTTTTCGGCTTTATCTGTGTTGGATTCTACTCACACATCTGAGTTCTCCGTAGCAAGTAGAGTGAGTATTCAGCGGAACTTCCTGGTCCTGCACCATTCAGTACAATCATGCACTAATTGCTATTTATACTAACTACGACTTTTATTAATAAGTATTGAACTGTATGATAGTCCAACTGAAACATATCGCCTACCATCTCTATTTATTGATCCCAGTAACTTCTTCCGCCTCAGTAACCGTGAGGACTGACTATTTATCCATAGATCTATAGATAGGTATCCACGATACTGGCCAAAGAAAAAAAAGACGTGACAATTTTCAACATGTCTTCACATTTCTCCAAAGCTTTCTAGACAGTTCATTTTATATTCATGGATCAGTTTACTGCATCCTAATTGCTGACACACTTGCTTAGATCGTTCATATCCTCTGATTTGTCAAGACTAAATCCAGTTGCGGAGGTTCGTGATCCGGGCTGTGTTGCTACTGCCATATTTTGCACAAAAGCTTACTGAATGGCAGTCTACTTAAGACCGTTGTCGAAACAGCTACATAAATCTGTAGCTGTGAGCTCATAATTAAAACGGAGAGTATTCGGGCTTCCGATCTCAAAGCTCTTATTGTTAGTGCTTTATTTACACCAAACGTTTTCCAAACTAACCATAAAACAATCATTAATTGACTCAAAGGAAATTTCATCTTTTCGTCTGTACTTAGTGTCATTGAAAGTGAACCATATATTACAGATGCATCTTAATAGTAGTTCCTTCAAATACAGTTGATAATTCAATGTTCACATTGTTATCTTCTTTATAATTACATATAAAATAAACAGTGGAACACTAATTAAAAGTGACTCGACGTCGAGAGATGTCGTAATTTTGTGAGAAAAACATTTATATCCTGTATTTGATTGATGAACTCAACGATGTGATGGAAAGGGTAAACAAAGATCTGCCTCCTTACAAGTTCTATAATATCAGCCAATCAATTTTACGATTGGATGGTAAAAAGATTCGGATATGCCCAGAATCAGGCGAAGCCGTAGGCTGACCACGCAGGCATATACGTGCTCGGACCAACGCATGATCGCTGTCCAAACACGTACTCCAGAAGGAGTGGCAGTCTTCCACCGATCCTCTCCAGAGATGAATAATAGCAATACGGTCTACCTGAGTCCATCGCTGGGTTGAGCTCGGTGGACGCCACATCAGACAGTGTCTTTTCTTATGTCTGAAATTTGTGCTATCTAAAAACAGGCAATTATCTGAGCGCAGTTGTAGTAGGCAATCACCGTTATTTGTTCGTTCAGCCGGGACTCCGAAAATGCCACCTAAGTACCTTTCTGCCTCACTCAGTCTACCCACCTGTGCGTTGAAGTCACCTGTAACAACCACCACGTCCGAACGTTTGGCTTTTGAGAGGAGGCTAGACAGTTTACGGTAGAACTCGTCCTTCACTTCATCCGAGCTGCAGTCAGTGGGTGCGTAAGCAGAGATTACAAAGAGACAACGGCGAGTCTCACTATTCCTTTTAGTTCTTACTGTGCCGTTCAGCCTCATAGCTCAGAGGCGACTACCAACTGGGATCCAGTCTAGAAGTGAGTTTTCTTCCCTAGTGCTTAGTGCTATACCTACAACTGCAAGACCACGAGAGCTGGCTATCGAATCTCCAGAAACTCGAAGGGTGAATTTCGCGGACTCACCAGATTGGTCAGGAGAGGTCAGGTGAATAACCACACTTGGGTCTTGTATGCGAGTCTGACAAACACAACACATCCATGGCCCGAGTTGCTACAGCCTCTGCCAACGAAGCCTGTTGACCAATTTGACGGAGGGTGCGGACATTGAAGGCTCCAATATATAATTTGGAGCGTGGTTTAAGGAGACCAGTGATGCTGTTCTATGGACTCAGATCGTTGTCGAAGGCTGCAGAGGTAATAGATATTGAAGATGATGCAGCATCATTAATTGAGAGACGTGAAGGAAGATTAGAAGGTAATGATGGAGGAGGTGGATAGCAGTCAGAAGAAACTTGAGTGCTGACAGAGTTGTGAGGTCGGTTGACACTTCCCGGCTGCCCACACCGTGGAAGGCTATTTCTTCTTGAGGTACCTGAAAGAGATTTGTGTGACTGCAGAGCCCATCGGACATCTGCTTGAGGCCTGTCACACAAAGCCTTTTGAGTATGATTATTTTGAACTTTTGTATTTTTGGGGCCGGATGGTCGAAAGGAAACGACAAGTGAACCAACACCGCCGGCCCGGCAGACCGTGGGGCATGGTGGAGTGTGTTATTTTTGGGGCCGACTTTTTCTAACCCCCCCTTCCACTGAGAAGGCAGCATCAGCATGGCGCTGCTGGTCATCCAAGGGAAACACCTTACTGCTGTCACACCCCATCCAGCTGGTAGCAGTACGACTTCGCCCTCATAGTGTATTAATTTACACCTCAATGGTAACTGCTTTTCGTCTAACCACTATCCAATAGACCTTTCTGGTATGGTAGGACCTCGAGGAACAAGTGTTCCACCAGCATAGCTCGTTGGGTCATTGTGATATGCAAACCCGACCACCACTTCAAGGTAGCAGCTATCGGTCGGAACCCCGGAATAGAACTTGACATAGAAGTGTATCTGTTCATGTTTCTATACTTTGCAGCAGTATACAGTGAATAAGTGAAGAGAATGAAAGAAAAGTATATAAGAGAAAGGGGAGAGTATAAAATAATTGATAAAATACATAATTTTGTCAAAGACAAAAAGCGAACTCCACTCATCAACCACGTACACATTTATACAACAGACAATGGGTCATCTATATTCATACTCAACTAGCTAATCAAACCCTACTAGATTGAATGGGGATCGAACTTGTAACTCAGTGATTGGAAGTTGAGTACCTAGACCAATAAGCCGTAGTTTATGATTTAATATACAAATCTGTATATCATTTCTGAATTATTATATATTACTTTTTGTCTTATTTCGTATAATTTATTGATCTTTTTTTTGTAGAATGTTTAGAATTTCATCTAAGCTTCAGTGGATTGGTAGACATCTAAGTTATATTGTCGATGAAAAGTCTATTCATTCAGTAGTTTGTGCTATATCAGGTGGTGTAGACAGTGCTGTATCTGCTTATTTATTAAAAAAGAAGGGTCAGTTTTTCTTTTTATCATAAAAATAGTGTTTATTTGTTTCATTTTTTAGGATTTCAAGTTAAAGGTGTATTCATGACTAATTGGGATTCATTAGATGAGAAAACTGATTGTTCTATAAATCAAGATCGTTATGATGCACAATATGTGTGTGAATATTTAGGAATACCATTTTTTGAGAGAAATTTTGTTAAAGAATATTGGAATTATGTTTTCTTGTAAATACCTATAGTCTACTTAATACATTAATTTCTATTTAACAATAGACCACTTATTAAAGCTTATGAACAAGGAGCAACTCCAAATCCAGATATACTGTGTAATAGATTCGTTAAATTCAATATGTTGACAAGAGCTGTACTAAAACACTATGGCAGTGATGATGATGACCAATTATCTTCAAATATCAAAGCAGATGCAATTGCTACAGGTCATTATTGTAGAAATTCTTTCGGTGCTTATTTACAATATCGAAAAGAAAATGCTGAAGCTAAATTATTACGATCTGTTGATCCAGTGAAAGACCAAACATTTTGGTTATCAACTGTAAGAGTTGTGTGTGAGTTGTTTTTCATCTTACCAGTTTTGTATAGGTTTAATAGTTATGTACATCGAAATAATGTTTTATTTGTTATCTGATATCAGTTAAATACATTAGTAGTATATATTTTAAGTGGAGCAGAGCATATAATGGCGGTCAACTCTCTACTTCAACTTCATCGATTTTGAAAAGGCCTTCGACAGCGTTGACCGAGAAATAACTTGAAAACTGCTACAACACTACCGTCTTAGCACCATAAACCCTTACCCTCGAGTGGGACCCAGTTGGGAAACGGCTAGTTGGGCGTCCGAGGCGAGAGTGACATGGAGGAGATCGTGTGAGGAAGAAACGAGAGGTATCGAGCTGTTGTGGAGCCAGGTTGGGAAGACTGCAGAGAAGAGAGTGGAATGGAGAAGTGCTACTCAAGCTCTATGTTTCACTGAGAACCCAAAAGACAAATAGTAATAATAATGTTACTTAAAAAAGGATAGTGCTAAACGTACTTGAGATGACATAAAGACAATACAAACTTGAGCAAAAAATAATATATGGAGACTGTAAGATTATTCACGAGAAATCCCCATAGAGGTATATAAGAAAATGAAGACAAGTGGCTCAGAAAAGAGACTCTCTTCAGAGCTTTCATTCACTAAACTATACAATCCGCATTTATACACAATTGCTTTTGGTGAGAACGTATAATTTGTTTGCTGTGTGAGAGTAATTGGCTAACCATGACAACAAGCAAAGTAATACATATAAAAATCAAAGTATCATTTTCACCCGAAAGTGTGATCAAAAAGGCATAAGTACCAAGCAAACGGAATCACGCTCCTGTCCACCCTAGGCAAACTATTAGACCCCATTATCCTGGAGAGACTAAGAGGTGCTCTGAATTTGAAATTAGGACAGGAACAGACTGGCTGGTTTCAGGAAGAACAAGTCATGTGCAGATGAAACTGAAACACTATACTACGCATCACAGAACAGAGCATACAATGGAGGTCAACTCTCTACTTCAACTTCATCGATTTTGAAAAGGCCTTCGACAGCGTTGACCGAGAAGTAATTTGAAAACTGCTTCAACACTACGGTCTTACCACCACACAACTTTTACCAACCTCATTCAACAGCAGCTATATGCTATATGATGCTACATGCCGAGTGATTCACAATGGAAAGCTCAGTGATGATGAATTTGAAGTGAAGACAGGAGTAAGACAAGGCTGCCGTCTACTATCACCGATCATCTTTGTGATTGTGGTTGACTGGACCGGACTGGATTGGAGTGGACTGGACTGGACGTGATCATGCAACGGACAACTGTGAGGAGCTGTGAGAAGATAAGTATACGCTGTGTTGCCCGATGAAAAGACTCCAGAGGAATATTTGGATTTCACCAACGATGATCATTTGTGTCCAGTGTCTAGTGTCACACAAACTCGAAGACGTACAGGCAAAAACTAACAAGTTGGCAGAAGAGGCGAGACGAGGTGAGGTAGCGAAGGCAGACGCGACTTCCTTCAGGTGAATGTAGAGAAGACAGAGGTGATAAAGTTACCCAATCAACAACAAGAAGAAGAAGAAGCATATATCACCATGAAGGGGGGGGGGGAGGGGAAATCTGAAGTGAGTTGTCTCTTTCACGTACCCAGTCAAGGGAGCATCATTTCAACTACAGGCAACACAGGCACAGATGAGGATGTGAAAGTCAGGATTGGAGAGACAGCAAGACAGTCCTTCAATAGGCTGAAATCGGTGTGCAGATCTACTCGACTTCACTGGAGTCCAGTGCACTCAGCATAGAGAGTGAAGAAGATGCGGATTGTCAACACTAATGTTAGTCAAGTGAATCAGTGTTTGTATGTGATGGTTGGGAGAGTTGGCGCGTTACGGAAATAATCTCCAACAAACTGCAGACATGCGTGAACAGCTGCTGCCTATGCTCTCTCACTCGATACTGAAGATCAGATTTGATGAGATGAGATGAGATGAGATGAGATGAGATGAGAAGGCGATAAATAGTGAGGAATAAGGAAGTGTGACTGGCCCTGAAGGAACCAACCAAGAACCTATCGGGTAACAAGTATGGAAGAGAAGAAAGTGGAGATGGATTGTATTGTATTTGATTGTATTGGACATAGACTGAGAATACGATTTGGGGACGTGACTAGTTAGGCCAAGTCAGGTCAGAGTGTTGAGTGTGAGTGAAATGGGAAAGGACGAGTTGTGCGTCCGAGGTGATGGTGACATGGAGGAGATGGTGTGTGAGTAAGAAATGTAATGTTGTGGGTAGTGGTGGTGCTGGGTTAAGGAGATTGAAGAGGGGAGAATTGAATGTGGAAGTGCTATGGATGCCCTGTGTTGTACTAGGAACTCAAATGGCAGATAATAATAATCATAATTATATTTGAAGAATGACACTGAAGAACAACTGAGGTAGCTGATATTTCGTTAAGTGGTGAAGTCTGTTTACAATAAGAATCTGTCTTATCCGTTTTGACTTTCACTTGTTGAGTGACGTACTTTCAGGTCTTTTTAAATTAGGTTTTGAACAACAATTGATGATGTTAACCTGGAAAGATACAGGTTCCTTTGAACGCGGGCATCAAAATTCCGAGTTTTTTTTCGCACGTTTTTCATCCATCAAATTTAAGATGGCTCTTAAAGACTATTGCGCAACCACTTTTAGTTTAAGGATATGGAATGAACTGGTTGAATATCTTGAGACTTTTATTTACTTGAGGAGTTGCATGAGCTTCTACGGACTGGTTGGTGACGAAATCTCAGCTCGGGTATACAAGTCCTGTTTAGCATTTGCCAGTATGTACCATCTGTGGAGCCAGCGAGATTTCCAACTATCTTTCAACGGACGAGTATACTGCCCTGCAGTCGTTTCAGTCCTGGCCTTTAAAAGTGGAATGCATGATGCGGTAACAGGGTTCTGATTGCAGATGTCTTCGTAGCATTGCTCGCGTTTGGTGGAATCAACATGTTAACAATGTTGGGGTCAGGCGAAGGGTAACAGGCATGTTGATTGATGAGGTTGTAAACCTCTATCGACTGAGATAGCTTAGATATGTGCGGCACATGTCGAGACACCGCCTACCTCGACAGGCTATGCTAATGAAAGTTGGATTAGGTTTAGAGAGGGTTGAGAGTAGCCAGACCAAGATGTGGCACCAGTCGATGAAGTTACTGTTGGTTTGAGTCGTATGGGGGGATGTAGGCTGCATCATTTGGATCCTCGAGACGATGGGAATAAGTGATTGAGGACGACATGGCTGAAAATTGGTCACAGTGACGCAAATGTGTGCACTCCATGACGTCTTCTAGAGCTTGAGCATTCGCGCTAACCGTTATCTTCAAATTGCTCATTCACTCACACCACTTCATCTTTTTTATTATCACTTTCTTTCTTCCACTTGTCCTCTTCAGGCTACTGTGATGTTTGGCAACTTGCGCCAATGCACCTGTGTGCGATGTTTTACGTTAATTTTATCTGTCTGTCAAGTAAAAATCATTACTAGTAACATAGCTCTTTCGATCACTCTGATAGGTATGGCTGGCCACCATATGGAGGTAACAGCTCCCAATCGGGTAGCAGCAACATTCCAGGACAATAGAAGTTGAAGAGTAATGACACATGATGTGATTGTGATTAACCAAAAGTGTAACGTTAGCGAAAAAATTCTTAGTTTTCCGAATTTCTCATATTCAACCAATCAAGCATAATGATGAGAATCTTGGTGTCCTAAATATCTGCTATCTATATGCTTTTAAAAGTAGTGCAGAGACTCGATAGTCTAGTGGATAACATTCTGATGTTTGAAGCGATCGGTCCCGAGTTTGAGTCCTGGTGGGAACAACACAGCTCACTGAGAGGGAGGTATATCCAGCTGATGAGCCACAAATAGGACGAAACGCACGTCCTAAATTCTACTGTTAGCTACCATCCATCATTAGTAGTGCAGTTGTTTACACATTTAGTTAGCATTCATACACTTGTATGTTTGATATTGTGCGAAAGTTTTTTTCTGTAAGTAGGTAACCATAGTCACCGAAATTTGTTTGTTTGATATGAAGAATCAAACATCTCAGGTTCGTGTATCCAGCTTTACGTTGGTAGACAGTTAGTTGAAAGAATTTTCAATGTTGAATAGATACAATGTAAAAATACATTCTACTACATTTGTATTATATAATCTTAGATTCTGACTTTCTGGCTTCATACATCCAATATTCAATACTTCAGTGTGACATCATTTATAACTCGTTTATTTGTAGAATTAAACTGATTTATGACTCTTGTTCATCTAGTAACCAGCTTGTGTACACTGAAGGTCACTGAAAAATAATCAGTATCATTTCTGATCCCGAGTGTCAATCACTTGGCCAGGTTGATTGATCGTTCTTGGCGGTTAACTTTCAACCAGCAAGTTGTAGGTCCAAACCCCGCTCCAAATACCAAATTTTGGATAGTTTGTATTGTAAGCTCTCAAATTATAAATATGGCTAATCGTTTAATGTAGGAGACTGGATGTGATTTCTGAGTTACATTGTTATATTATAGCGATCACTTTTTACAATGTAGTCACTAGACTATGAGAATCGCGTAGATTGAGGTGATAGTACTTCTATGGATAGACTGTAAGTAAATTTTACGGACGAATATCAACGATAAGGAAATGTACATCAAGTTCCCTGTCTCTATTACCTGTAGTTTATCTTCAATCAACTAGAACCAATTTATGTTTACTATAGTTGTATACTTATCTTTTCTTTATGTCTGGAACGAAATGTTGAAGGGTCAGAGTGTGATCCGACTTGTATTTATGAACGTCGAATTTCTGTAGATAGTTTCATAAGCTTAGCTTACTTGAAGGTACTCATTCCTAGGGTGAAATTTATTGTTAGTTGTTGCCTATGAGCACGTTTTTCAATGACTATGAAAAAATAAACCTATAATAATAATAATAATAATAATAATAATAATAATAATCCACTTTATTCCGAACAATTTGTGGTACAGTTTGGAATTCTCAACATGATATATTACAACAACAACAAAATATGTGTATGGTTTATACTCCTTTACAGCATTTCGAATTGTTTTATTATAAAAATTTAAGTACTATACATAGTTAAAACACAGGCAATATCAAGGCATCCTCACAGGAGCCTGTATGCCAACAGATTGATCAATTCGGTTCAATCAACGATGGTATAATTCAAGCAATAACACTGAAACTATACCCGTAGCACAAGAGGTAGCTATCGTGGCTCGGTGGTGTAGTGGATAACGCTTTGGCGTTTGAAGCGATCACTCCCGAGTTTGAATCCTGGTGGGAACAACATCACTCACAGGGAGGCAGAGGTACATGCAGCTGAGGAGTTCCAAATAGGACGAAATGTGCATCCTGGATTCCACTGCTAGCCACTACCAATCGTTACTATACATAATTAATGTAAAGAATACTAAAAATGAGACTATTTTATATTGTTAGGTAAATTATTGAAATGAGATTGTTAATTGTTACAAAGTTGATATGTGAGTTCTGTTCTGGCACACTTTTTTCCTCACACAATATGCGTTCTAGGTAAGAGGTACAGTCAAATTCTTGTACTTTGCTGTACGAGTGTATAGTTTTATGTAGTTTCTCCTTGTCCTCCTTGACAGGAGATACAAGGAGAGAGGGAGCTATGAATCAAGTGGATACTTAGTGTCAGTTAAAATTACTGTAGCTAATTACTTGCTAGAATTTAAATGTCTGTCAATTAGTGTGTTAATCACCTGAACCACAGGCACACCATTCACCCTACACACTGACACCTATCAAAGCCCTATGCAATATAACATAGTCCTTTTTCAGTACACCAGGAAAATATCAATGGGGAACAATAGAGAAGAATAGGTAAAATGTAGGGATTAATAAACTGTAAAAAGTAGGAGTTGATTCATACCAGAAGGCCTCAGTTTCTTGATGTAATATGTTAAACGAAAGATTTTTTTACAAGTCAACAAGATATGAGACGACTAACAAAGGTGAAAAGTAAAACTCAATCCAAGATAGTTAACACTCGATTTACTTTCTGCAGAAGTACCATCAACTCTGCAACAGGCGTCATCAGACTTAAGCATCTCACACACGTTTGCCTTGTTCACGCCTGAGGCTAAAGTTAGCAGTCTAACATTTAGAAACCTTTAACTTGAGACCATTTGAGAGAGATTATTGGCCAACTACAGACAAGAGTCCATTTAATTTAGAGCAATCTAAATAAGAATTGACTGGAACAGACACCGTCACATCATCAGCACACTTAATAAAATCAGTTTCAACAGAATAAGGCACGTCATGCAAAAAGAATGAAAACAGAAAAGGAGAAAGTACCACACCTTGAGGCACACCATCTTCAGTAAGCAATAAAGTGGAGCACTTCCCTTTATAGACAGTATACTGTCTCCTTTCAGAAAAATAAGAATGCAGTCATTTTGTAACCCATGGCTCAGTGTGAGCTATGGCAAGCTTATTTAACGAGAGTGGTCCAGGAACAGAGTCAAAAGCTGACAACTACTCCAAAAAGGCACAATCAACATACTTAACACTTTTGTCTTGACTAGAAACAATATTATGATGATTCAAGACAGTGATAGCATCTAAAGTACTTCTACTATGTTTGTAAGCAAACTGTTTTGGATATCTGAAAACTATCAAGCACAAGAAGAAGTAATTTCTCTGTTGTCTTCAGGAAAAGGGAAAGCTATAGCGATGGGTCAAAACATAACATCTGATTCAGAAGATGACTTAGGCACAGGTACAACTTTGATCTCCTTCCAAGCAGCAAGTATTGTGATTTGAGTCATCTCGGGGGACCCAACCAAATAGTCTACACATTCCTACACGGCTTGAACCAACAGTTAGGGACTTCATTGACTAGTGGTATGTCTTGGTCTTGCCACTCTGAACCCTCTATCAGCATAATCTAACTTCCCCTAGGACTTCAATTTCGGGTAGATGATGAATCAGCGTGTGCAACACATGTTCAAGCTATGTCAGTTGATGAAAGTTTACAATTATCCAATGGGTTATATATATTAAATTTGTCTTACTTGAGAACGTGTGTGTTCTTTTTAAGACTAGTCAACATATTTATACAACTTGATAATCACTTAAACGTTCATCTTTCATTGATTATCTTCTAGATTTCTCATAAAGAACTTCAACATTGTATGTTTGCTGTTGGAGAATTATCTAAACCACAAGTGAAGCAAATCGCTCAAGATATTGGCCTTACACGTATTTTATCCAGGCGTGAAGTATGTTGTGTGTGTTTGCGTTTTGTTTCTCACTTGAATTTATCACCTAACTCTATGTAGTAAGTGCATTTCTTAGTCATTCTTCTTTAGTATTCATCAGTCTAAGCCTAGAGCTGTGACTGTGGTTCAGGGAGATGACAACTAAACCCTACTCCATCTGCCGAAGTTTAAGCAACCCTCATTGCCTACTGCATGGATGTGCACAAGGTGGCTGAGTGAGTCTCTCTCTCATGGGTCTAAGCTTCTGTGTAATAAACATTATAAAAGTCATAGATTAGAGTCTTAGTTTTCCTATCTATAACTGGCACATAAAACTGGAAAATCTCATCAACACTATCACACTACAGGCAGCTTATAAAGTATGAACTGTAGGTTATCATTAAGGAATTCTATTTGTGGAATCTCCCTCTCGTCACCTGATTACACAGACGTTGACCTAATCGCTGGAGAATTTTCGATAGACCTAGAATACATAGATGACATAGTCCTGTTAGGTGAACACGCTGATAAGATGCACAGTCTTCTGACCACTTTGAGTAGAAAATTGAGAATGCTTGAAATGCGGTTCTCACCACCCAAATGCAAATTGTTGCTCAGGGAATTGGTCTTCAACGGTGCCACGGCTAACAGTAGAGAGTGTAGTGGTTGAGTATGTCGAACACTTCACTTACCTGTGAAGTAGAGTCAGCCCTGGTGGGTTGATCAGTGGCCGATGAAATCTCTGCAGGAATACAATGTGCTCGTCTGGCTTTTGCCAACTAACGCCAATTGTGGCGCCATCGTGATATCTGTTTGTCTATTAAGGGTCGCGTGTACTGAAGCTGCACAGCAGTCCACTCTGTTCTACTCTATGGCTGTGAAACATGTCCATTGAAGGTGGAAGACATGAGAATGCTTCAGGTGTTTGACCACCGTTGCCTTCGTAGCACACACCATATACCATGGTGTCACCACGTGAGTAATGCAGAAGTCAGGTATAGAGTTTTTGTGAGAAGAGGTAAATCAGTTGACATGGTTGTGAACCTTGATAGACTAAGTGGCTGGTTGGGTCATGTGTTACGTATGTCTAGTCACCGTCTGACTTGTCACACAATGTTGGCCGAAGTCGGTTCGGATTGAAAAAAGGCTCTTGGCTCTCGACCAGATTAAAACATGGCATCAATGTATGAAGTCTCTGACTGTTGGTTTCAGCCATGTAGGGGGATGCATACTGGGTGGTTGGGGTTGGCGGGACAAGATAAACCAGTGGTTGGAGACTGACTGTAAGTGATTACATGGCTGAGAACCGATGTCAGTGATGCAGATGTACACACACACACACACACATTATCCTCATCCTAAAGGCGCTATACCAAATCTCACCATTTTCTCATTCTTCCTTTCTCTCTTTGAGTACTTTATATTTCCTTTGACTGAATTTTCTTATCTTCGTCTTGCGCCTCGCTAGCTTGTTACTTGATATACTGATATGAGATGAGGTGTGGCAACACGAACCGTTACTCCGTAATGCTTGGTCCGATGTTGATGGATTATGATGATACAAATCCCAATGAGATAAAGAAACAAATTTCCGATGTTTCACAACCTCGTGGAAACCACCTCTCCTGACGATATATATATATATATATATATATATATATATATATATATATATATGATGATACAAGGTTGCAACACGATACATACGAATAACGATAGATTAATGACTTCTCAACCCGATACTCGGCTGACACCACAAGCAGACGATGAGATTGAAAGTTTATTTACTCTAATCGAATAATGATAAGTGAAAACTCAATCGTTTATATACCACTAGATGACCTTGACCAGGGAAAACAAAATAGCATATTAAAAGTGTAAAATGGACCAGTCAGCTTTTAGTATCTTAAACTGATGTAAGGAATAAGTAGTACAGCATAGCGCAAAAACGGCAAAAATAAGGTTTAAGTTTTACAATGGTAGCATAAACATATTATAAGTTTGTTTTTCTTAGGGATTAGGCATCCCTAACACTGTACGTGTATAAACAAAGTGATCCGATTTGTTTCCACTTAGTGTTTAAACATTCCATAACTTGTACAAATTTTATTCTCTGAAGAAGAGACATCTATGAAGCTGGGGAACGTTTAAAATTAACTTTTTTCAATACTTCACTGGCGCTTTACAGATATACTTCCGTTATAAACCATACCATTTAACCAGTGATCAACTGGTTCAAATCTCATTTTAACGATCTGAGATACCTGTGGTTCAGCAGACTAGTATTTAAACTGGGTAGTTATTGAAGGTGGAATGAAAATTTGAACCGCTGCCTGGATTCCAGCCAGCGACCACTGGGTTGCTTTCCGAACCGATACTCTACCAACTGATCTACGAGGTCCAACTGCTGCCAGTATTTTTATTTCTCTTCACGTTTATCATGTTGAACTTTGATCCTGAAGTCTATATAAGCTGGTTCTTATTTCAGTCCACGAGTTCATGGTGTAGACGTAAAAGAATGTGAATGTATGAGAACAATCATATTTAAATAAGAAATTCAGTTTGTGTGTGTGTGTGTGTGTGTGTGTTATACTGTCCTTTGTTTCTGTTCAGTGTATTACAATTCAAAATAATGTGGAACGTCTCTGCTATTCTGCAATTCTACAGGATTATTTGGAAGTTGTTCTTGTTTAGTTTCCATGCTCTTTAGCATATATGAGGATTTCGCCGAATGCCCCTAATGTATAACACACAGTCATTCTGGAGAAAAGGGGCATACACTGGACCGATGAAAAGACCCTAGAAGATTTGGATATCGCCCATGATTTATGTCTAATGTCGGACAAACTCGAAGATGTGCAGGCAAAAACCAACAAGTTGGCAGAAGAGGCGAGACGATGTGAGGCAGCGAAGGCAGACTCGACTTCCTTCAGGTGAATGTAGAGAAGACACAGGTGATGAAGTTACCCAACCAACAACAACAACAAGAAGAAGAAGCACATATCACCATGAAGGGGGGGGGGGAGGGGAAATCTGAAGTGAGTTGTCTCTTTCACGTACCCAGTCAAGGGAGCATCATTTCAACTACAGGCGACACCGGCACAGATGAGGATGTGAAAGTCAGGATTGGAGAGACGGCAAGACAGTCCTTCAATAGTCTGAAATCGGTGTGCAGATCTACTCGACTTCACTGGAGTCCAGTGCACTCAGCATAGAGAGTGAAGAAGATGCGGATTGTCAACACTAATGTTAGTCAAGTGAATCAGTGTTTGTATGTGATGGTTGGGAGAGTTGGCGCGTTACGGAAATAATCTCCAACAAACTGCAGACATGCGTGAACAGCTGCTGCCTATGCTCGCTCACTCGATACTGAAGATCAGATCAGATCAAATCAGATGAGATGAGATGAGATGAGATGAGAAGGCGAGAAATAGTGAGGAATAAGGAAGTGTGACTGGCCCCTGAAGGAACCAACCAAGAACCTATCGGGTAACAAGTATGGAGGAGAAGAAAGTGGAGATGGATTGTATTGTATTTGATTGTATTGGACATAGACTGAGAATACGATTTGGGGACATGACTAGTTAGGCCAAGTCAGGTCAGAGTGTTGAGTGTAAGTGAAATGGGAAAGGACGAGTTGTGCGTCCGAGGTGAAGGTGATATGGAGGAGATGGTGTGTGAGTAAGAAATGTAATGTTGTGGGTAGTGGTGGTGCTGGGTTAAGGAGATTGAAGAGGGGAGAATTGAATGTGGAAGTGGTAGTGATGCCCTATGTTCTACCAGGAACCCAAAGGACAAATGATAAATAAAATGTCAGTCCTGACGACTTTTTCGAAATTAACAAATACTCAGCACATCCACTTAGTGTTAAGTTTTCACTTCGTCTGAACTTATTCAGGAGGGTGATTAATGAAGATGATAGACAAATGAATGTAGAAAACATCATAAATTTTGTATTCTTCAGTAACAACCCTGAGTACACGAGTCGGAAGATTGAATACCATGAAGACAAAAATCTCGAGAGAAAATGAAATATGATTAGTCTTTGCGTTAGTACAATTGTTTTATCTTTCCGCCAAGGTATGACTGAAGGATTACAAAAGATTTTCGGGAAACGTCGGATTAGAATCGCCTACAAGATAACTAGCACTCCTGAGAATGTTTTGGTTCACATAAGAGAGGGGATCGGATTTGCCTCTGCGCTGATTTGTGATTTAGTGTTGTCAAGGTTGTTTGGAAATGTATGTATTCAGCATCGCTGTCAACTGTATTGACTGTTGTTGAGACAGTAAAAATCTCTGTCAGCAGTCCATCTCGTCTTCACGTGTCGGTGGTATCGTTGTTGTGGTGGTCATGGTTAACGTTCTGATTTGTATAAGAGTCGATTCGTATGTGCTGTAGGTTCGTTTCGTTTGTAGTCTGCTAGGCTCCTATCGCTTGTAGAGTGTTGGTCGTATTACACGTCATAAGAAGACCAAATTAACTTAAAACCTCCCACACACGTGCATCGGCTCAGATTGCCACACTTCACATAATGTGCACAAAGAACAGGTGGATAGAATAAGAGTGATATCAAAGTAGACGAGGTTGTGTACGAGAATAAACAATTTGAAGGTAACCAGGCCGTCTACGTCTCCCCACACAACTCAGACCAACATTCACAGACTTCATGCACTGAATCACGCTTTCTTCCAACTTTATTCAACTTCCTTTAGCATGGGATGTAGATGTAGGTGGTGGCTCAGCATATGTAGTACGTGTCATCTGAGTCGACTAAGGTTTACAACCTCATCAATCGACTCCTCTATTCTTACTTAATATCTTTCGCCTGACCTCACCATTGCCTATAGTTGACCACTTCACCTACTTGAGAGGAAGTTGTATCAACCCGAACGGGTTGGTTACTAATGGAATCTTAGCTCGGATACAGAATAATAATCGCTTTATTCCAAACTTGTGTGATAGATTATAGAATTTTCAGCAAGTAATATTTCAGCAAATACGCTCTCCATAAAGTGCTT